AGGCACTGCACTCTATAGTCCAAGCACTTTACAGTGCAAGGGTTAAAAGTAGACACCTAGAGATGACCTGCATGAGGCATCTACTTTAAGATGAGCTCTGCATCTCCATTGTCAGACTGCTCTTCACCATACCACGCCTCTTCTGGGTCACCGGTGTCCCTAAATCTGTTAGTGAAGAAAGCGAGTTCCTTCCCGAGCATTGATGCTTTGTGTTTCACTGCTGTTCTCGTTGACTTGCTCCACACCATTTCTAGGTTTATTTTCTTAATGTCTTACAGAGGCCCTTCGGGGTAAGGCTAACACTAGCCTGCAGCCATGGAGGTGAAGACCTTGAGCTGCAAACACTTTGGCAGCTTTTTGCTTCAGCTTTGTTGTGTTTGACTTTTGGTTATATATTTGGAGTAGATCTGGACAAGCTCCACTCTGCTTTCCAGTAACAGGCGGAACTGCTGCAGGGACTTAATGTGAACCAGGATTTGGAAAAGCCCTATGCTTCCTCTGCATCCATAAATTCAGATATATTTTCTTGGCTGCCTTTTGCTGGAGCTGTTAAACTGGTGTTTGCTGTTTCCTGGGCCCTCATCTTGGCATGGTTTTGATGGGGCGAAGCGTAAGTAGGCAGGGCAAGGGTAAAAATTAAAAGATCAGGCTGAATTTGGCCATCCCTTCCACCAGTGTGCTGTGGAGAAAGGGGAATCACCCACACGGGGGTTGTATGAAGAAACAGGCAGTGGCGTGGCTGCAACGCTCCCATCGCTGCTGCTGTCGGAAGGATTCGGCATGGTGGTGATGCTGTGCTCCGCTCAGCCAGCGCCCGGGCCGGGTGACAGGGCAGTGCCAGGCCTCAGCACGGGGAGACTCCCCACATCCCCCCTTGTCCCCTGCTTAGCCACAGGGTGCTGTCACACACAGTACAGCCTTGACATCGGCACTGGGCAGCACTTTCCCTGTTGCATTCGTGCCAGCACTGCCCATAACTCCAGGTGCGAAGCCGCTCGCCGCTCTGTCCGCTCGCCCCGCTCTGAAGGAAGGGTAAGGTCTCCAGGCATGGGTGCCTCTGGGCTGCAGCCTTTTCCATCTGTGCAGTATCCTGAAGCTGTGGAGCAGATCTTTTCCCCTGGGTTTTGCTCCAGTGTAGCTCCACTGACATCTACTGGGGCTTGTTCTTACTTACACTGGTGCAAAAGGAACATCAACCCTCAGAGGGGGTTTCCTTAATGTTTCACAATATTCTGAATGTGCCTGAGTGTCAGAGATTAATTCTTACAGGGATGGCCGTTTTCCTGAGTGCATCTTAGTTTTAAATGCCTCTTTTCTTTGCTGGTCCTGTTGCCCTGGACTCCCCAGAGAGACTCCTGAGGTCTGCTTGCTGTTTTATGATATTACATTGAGCATTCACTTTGAGTCTCAGACAGATGGGATGATTTGCAAGCATTTTCCTTATTTCTCTCTGTGCCCTTCCATATCTCACCTCAGATACAGACCAGCCAAGCTGGCTCTTGCTAATTACTTAAAGAAGTAGTTACCTGCAATAGCAGCATTCAGTCTCTTTGGAAAACAGATATACCAACATGCTGAAGGGTGGTCGGGTATTTTCTTGCCACACTCATGATGAGGGGTTCCCCCCCATCTCATTCTGTGGTGTTTTCAGAATTGAAGCACAATGATTAGCCAATTCCTTACATGAACCAGCTGTGAACTCCTCTCCATAGAGATCCTCTATTGTTCCACACTCAGAAATTGTAATTATCAAAGAAAAATATTGACCTAAGGCCAAGGTACAGTAACTTTGTTACTTGAGTAATGGGGGAGAGATGCAGCCTGGGAGATATGGAGGGATTAGAAACACATTGGAGAGAGAGGAGGAGGATTAGGAACGGCAGCTGAAGAGAGTCCTGCTGTTAGTCAGAGCTGCAGTGCAAGTGCAGGGGGATGAGTAATGGCACACCCAGTCCCACAGGTCTCCGCTCTGCAGGATGCACACTGCTCCGCATTGAATCCGTGCACCCTTTCTTTCCCTATGCCCCACTTCTCAAATTCCTGCTAGTAACATCTTTAAAAGACCTTGAGTCCCTCTGCTGAATGTCCCACGAGCATTTTCCATTTAAAAGACTTTACAGATAACAGTGTTTGTCCCATCAGCTTTCTTGACAATCATAGGCTATAAAGCAATTTTGCCTGGGTCAGGACCAAGAGGAACAAGATATTTCTCCAGTTACGTTTCTTTCTTTTAAATACTTTCCAGGCATCTATTGATGCTAATGTTGTGACCTGACACTTACACTGTCACACTGTAATTGTTACACTTTGGATTTTTCCCTCTGATCAATTCCCCACTCTTACCCACTCGGGGATTTGGGGATTTCTGTGCAAAATAAGCCTGGGAGATAGCGTGTGAGCATGCGAGGGCATATGCGTAGGTGTTCATATTCTACTGCATGTCACAAGCTTGGCGTTGCTGACAACTGTGGGACCCTGATCTCTGCCCACTTCTTTGCAGTTTAAACTGCCAGGGTGGGATCCCTTCCTCCACAGTTTAGATGTCTGCAATAGAAGTGTCTACATGTATTCCAATTATTTTGTCTCTTTTAAAAAACTGTGGTGGTAGTGACACTTCTAGGGTGCATTTCATTTGACCCAGTTCAGGTGTCTGCTTTAGCATGAGCAGGATCACACATGTTTGCTTAGAGGAGTCCCATCCTTAGCATCTGGCACAGCAGCAAGCCAAGCAGTCCTGCTGATTATAGACTTGCCGAAATACAGGGAATGAGCATGGGCTTAGCTATGTGACACCCATAAAAAGCAAAATCTAAAAACTAGTCAATTATCTGGTGTTTCTTTAAATTCCTGGTATGTTCGTTATTTTCCTCTGTAATTTTTCTAGTCCGATGATATGGCAATTCACCAGGTAAATACATTACTCTAAGTACAGCTTAAAAAGGCAGAGATTTAATGCAGGAGAAGCAAGAGGAAATCCTTCATATATATCCTTCAGTTGTCTGAGTTGTCATGTTAATAGTGAAGCAGCAGAGCACTCTGTGGCTGGTTCCCTCTCCATCAACTCCCTTTTAAACTGACTGAACTCAAATGGTCTGGGCCTGGAAATAAAATTATACAAACTGTTTTCTGAGCTAAGGAAGGGAATTCATCCTTGGTGCTGAAGCGAGTGTCTCAAGTGATTCGTTGCAAGAAAGAAGCTTATGAAGCCACCAACCGTTCGTCTAGCCCATTTTGTGTTTAAGACACAGATGCTTGCGATGCCTTCACGAGCAAGAAATGATGCTGCTGCCGTTCTGTGCCGGTGTGCCTGTGCATGGACAGCACAGCCCTAACATTTGCTGCGGGAATGTGGCTGCTGCCACCTCTGCTAAACCAGAATCACTCTTAGGTGGCACTAGTCATTAATTTTTGGAGAACTAAACTCATCTGAGTTATATATGCAAAATATTGGTGAGTTAATGGTACTGATAAACACTTCTTGTCTGGCCAATAAAGATTTTCTTTGTGAGAGTAGCTTGTATAGGTTCCCTAAGCAAAATAAGCCATGTCAATAAAAGTTACTTCTATGCCAGAGTAACTGTGCTCCCACTATGTTTTCTGCTTGCATGGAAATAACGAGAGAGTAAATCATTGCCTGATGCCATGATATACCAGTAGATTTCTGGTTTAGCTGTGGCTCTTGCACTAAAGAGAAAGACCAGGTAACGCTGAAATTATTTTCTCGGTCCCTGACAGAAGAGGCAGCACCACCTGCTGGTTTCACTGCTCACGGTCATGCTTTGCTCATGAGCTGCTCTCTTTCCCAACCGGGCTGTTCACTGATGCCTTGGCAGCACCCCAGGCCCTAAGGACCCTGCGGGGGGTCGCACTGAAGCACTGTCTGATTGAAACCCTGATGCACTGGCTGATTAAATGGAGAGGAAAATAGGAAATTATGGAAAACTTGTGAAATCAGGTTTATTAGCCTAAAAAGGTTCATTGTCTGCCCCACCCACACAAGACTTGTTACTTGTGGACTCCCTGATTTCTCATAAAGCTTCTGAAGATGAGAATGGAGAGACCAGCATTATTGCTGCAGACAGCATCAGAGCTGGGGCACATCCGAACTGGTATCCTTTAAAATGCTGAGGAACAATATTAATGGACTCGATGATCCTTATGGGTCCCTTCCAACTTGAGATACTCTGTGATAAAACTGCCCCCTTCATTCCTAGCTCACCTTTAACACTTGTAACCAGCTTGCCCAGGAGACCTGAGATAGATACCACCAGTGCCTGAATCCTCATTAGTCTGTGCCTTACTTGATTTCTTCCCACCATTTTCCTTCATCTGGAATAGGACATTAGATGACTACTATATGTGATTGATGTGGGGTGAAGGCAGGTTTATTCAGTCTAGACATCTGCCTTCCTTGATGGATGGAAAGCTATACATATCATGGTGGCTGTAACAGCAGGACTCCGCTCTCCACATACTGGATTCTTTCTCACTAATCTGAGACCAACTCATGTTCTCAGTGACTCCTTCATGCTTGGCAGTGAGGCATGATGGCTCTGAGTCAGGGTATCAGAGTATCAGGGAAGTAAAAAAAGAGAAGGTGGTGCTGGGCTGAGAAGGTAAATGAGGAGAAGAGAATGGTAATTCCATGATCACAGAGGATTTTGTGACAAGGGTGCCTAAGTACAGACCACCAGACTACTACAGATGTCTTATGTGACCTTAGACAAGTCACACACATCTTAAATCCTCAGGAGTTAGGTATTAACTTCTGGCATTCTAGTATTCGGTGTCCCTTTGACTCTGTATAGAGGGAAACTGGTGTTCTCCTGCCTTGCAGGGGTCTTCTGGGGATTAATATCTCAGAGTAGGGAAGGCACTCAGATCATTTAGTGACAGGATCTAAGAGAATGGTTCCTACCACAAGGTTTCTAACAGCATATCAGTAGGGTAGACAATCCATTTGCCAGGTTGTCCATCTCATGGTGTTTCTCTCTTTTCAGGCACTGCGTCTGTTGCAGTTGCTGGCATCTTTGCAGCCTTAAGGATCACAAAGAACAAGCTCTCTGACCATAAGTTTGTTTTCCAGGGAGCTGGAGAGGTAGGAATGTTCTTGAGTTTGTTACTAAATATGATCTAAATTCAAGTTTAGAGAGAGAAAAGTCACACATGAAGCTTCCTGCAAGGCTTGGCTTCATTAAAACAAAGCACAGAAGCAGGTTCCTTGTCACTGGGCAGGAGTGGGTCCCAGAGGAGGATCTTGCTGCTGCATAGAAGTTGCCAACAGCCTTTCAGTGGCCTCTTGGCCCGTAAGTCCTGGGTGCTACTAGGCTGCCCATGTGTCAGTGGGGCTTTAAATACTTTGAGGGAAGTCTCTTATGAGGCAGGGTGCTGCAGGAACGTTAAGGAGGCTGGTTTGAGTCCTCAGGGTTGGCACTAGGGTAAACCAGAGCCTCTTCAGCAATAGAGTCAAAAGGACTCAGACTCAAAGAACTGTAAGAACATAACCTCACTTTTTGGAGTCAGTCATATTGCCCCCATGGCAGAAGTCAGGTAGTCTGTATGGCACCTCGCTCAAAGAGAGAGGGGGAGGAAAAAGTCTCTAAAGCCTGGACTGTGGACTAAAGGCGTTGGTCCAGGTCCTGGCTCAGCTCTCGCCCACCTGTGGGACTTTGGGAAGTTCTGTTACTCACTGTTTGTCTATCCCTCTGTGAAACAAAGATTGCTTGTTCTCTTTCTCCACCCTTCCTAGCAGACATGTCTGTGCTGGTCACCGTCTGTGTGGCATAGAGTCCCTCCTGCCTTGTTCGTCCCCGTCTGGGCAGGAGGGCCCGGCACAGCTGTAGGACCACTGACACACACAGCATGTCCAGGGCTGCTTCCTCAGGCAGGAATGGGAGAAGAGGACTTTCCTCTTGGCAGTACTTCGGATGCAGCAATCCCACTTCGCTTTGAGTGCCTCTGCACTGGCATTGTCACCAATGTTTGTTCAGTGTATGCCTCTTTTCCTCCCCTGCAGCAGCTGGTTTAAATGATGGAGGGAGCCTTTACCTGTCAAGGTACCACCTCCACTGCTCCAGCCTCACAGGCAGCCTGCTCTGCTGGACAATTGTTTTTTGTTTTTTTATTTATGGCAGCACTTGCAATACTAAAATCAGCCCCATGCCATGGCACTGTACAACCATGGAGCAGAAATCCTCCCTGTTTTGTGCAGTGCTGGGGGATGACCGAACACATTTCTCATTCAAAATCTTCCCCCAAAACAGATGATGATACCCCAATGAAATGTTTATATACTGTGTTCCAGGCTGCAATGGGCATAGCTCATCTCATCCTCATGGCCATGGAAAAGGAAGGAATTTCACGAGAGGATGCCATCAAAAAAATTTGGATGGTGGACTCTAAGGGCCTGATTGTGAAGGTAAATATGTCCAGAGCTGAGCTCCGCTCCCCCGCCACCTCCTGCAAGCTAGAAAGGGGTCAGAGCAGGCAGTTACCTTGGACCCCAGCTCAGCCCTGGAGTAAGGGCTGCAGTTCTGTTGGTGTCAGCAGAGCTTTTCCTCCTTTCAGAGAACTAGGTCACATGGTGACAACAGTGTACCAGCAGCACTGGCTGCCATAAAGACAACGCTCTGGGCTGGGCCTCTAAAAGGGTAGGATGTGCTGCTGGCCATGATCTCAAGCAGTGCTGGAAGTCTTGCATGTCCTATATGGTGCTACAACAGCAACGTCGTGCCCTGCTTGGTGATCCAGCCCAGCTCTACTCTGCACTCCCTGGGTCTTCAGGACCTCTGCCCTTCTCCCTTCTCAGGCTTGAGGAGACTTGTGCTACAGGTACAACTTCTCTGCCCAGGCAACAAGATCCTTCCTCCACACAATCAATGTATTTTGGAGAGCAAGAGGAGCAGAGACCAGCCCCACCATGACATTACACCAACAGCTCAGTGCCTGACTGGCTGATGCTGAGGACCTGCTCTGAGGAATCTGGTTTAGGTAGATGGCCAAGAGAAGAAATGAACTGATGAGTTACTATGTTATATCTCCACCTTTTGCCAAGAGACCAAAGTTTGACTCCTTGTTTTTCCTCACAGGGCAGAAGCCACCTGAACCATGAGAAAGAAATGTTTGCCCAGGACCACCCCTGTGTGAACACACTGGAAGAGGTTGTGCAAAAAGTGAAGCCTACAGCAATTATAGGTGGAGTTCCTGTAGCACGACCTTTTCATATCAATTCAGTTCTTAGGAGAGTTTGTCTTTCTTCCAGGGCCTCCTTTTGTTCTCCCAGTCAAAATGAAATGAGCTTTTTTTACTCCCATTTTGTCAGTTGATTTCTCTATCACCTTTCCCCTTCCACCGTGGGGCACAGGCTTCTTCTCTTTTGGAGCTGAAGGAGTCCTCCCAGACAGGGCTGCAGAGGGAGGTGCTGTGGGAGGCAGGATCTGGGGCTCTCAGCAGTGAACATGTCCCTGGCAGTCTGGGCAGGGCAAGGATGACAACAGACAGCTCAGGCAGGTCTTTGGGAGGCAAAGTGCCACAGCCAGAGTGGCCTAAACACTGATTCCCACTCTGCCCAGAGGAGCAGGGCGCTTTATTTTGAAACAGCCTTCTAATCTTGACATAATATGAAAAATAAACATTCCCACCTGCATCTCCAGAGATGGAGCCTGTTCCCTTCTGCAGTTCATTTACCAATAGAGGCATCCAAGAGGGATCAGCCCAGTGCACAGAAGTCAGACCGTCGGAAAGCACCGTCTCACTCTGCTGTTGTTGTTTTAGGTGTCGCAGCCATTGCAGGAGCTTTCACTGAGAAGATTTTGAAGGACATGGCAGCCTTCAATGAGAGGCCCATCGTGTTTGCCCTGAGCAACCCCACAAGTAAAGCAGAGTGCACAGCAGAGCAGTGCTACCGCCTCACCGAGGTACTGGAGCTCAGCATAGGAAAGCTGGGTGCTCCAGGTACACTGTAGCCATGACTGTACCAAGGAAACCACAGTGGTGCATGGTGGGCGGAAAAGTGACAGTGGGCATAAGTTGAAACAAAAGAGGCTCAAGTTGGTCATAAAATTGAAACTTGCACGCTGTGAGGAGAGTCAGGAGGTGGAACAGGGGTCTAGGCTGCTCATGCAGTCTCTGTCCCTGCAAGTTTTCAAGACCAGGCTGGATAAAGCTCTGAGCAACCTGGTCTGATTTCATAGCTGACCTTGCTGTGAGCAGGATATTGGGTCCCTAGCAGTAATTTTTAAAATTACTTTGTGATCCTCTAAAGAAAGCCCTTGCCTCCTTCACCCACAGCTGTCTGAGGTGTCCCATCCTCCCAGGTTACTGTCCCCTGTGTTTTGCCACCCTAGTTATTTGCATAAGTTTCATCACCCAACTCAGGCTCAATGTCTGAAGAATTATTGTCATGTGGATTGAACTGGGGTGAGAGAGGCGGCCTTGTCTCACTCTCCCCTTTGCCACCCTCCCCCAGCACCTGCTCCTGGCTAGGGCAATCACAGGGCCTCCAGACCTTTATCCCACATGAGTCCCTCTTCACACTCAATAGATGGTTGATAGGAAGAGACACTCCTTCTCAGCAAGTTGAGAGCACTTGCAGTGGGCAGTACAAACACCCGCTCAGTGCTCAGTGGCCCTGTCCATGGCCCTGTTCATGGCTCTGGGGACCAGGCCCTCCATAATTATCAGCTGGAGATGGCTCTGGTGGAGATGTCTCTCACTGACTGGCTGGAGATGAACGTGTGGACATGGCACTTCAGAACATGGTTTAGTGGGCGTGGTGGTGTTGGGTTGACGGTTGGACTTGATGATCTTAAAGGTCTTTTCCAACCTCAATGATTCTGTGTGTGAGATTTGTCTACTTGGTCATGAGAGTCCTCTGAGCACAGATCATGGCAAGCAGCAGAAATGTAAGATGTCTCTTCTGAATTTAGATGCCTCTTTCTCTCTCTTACTAGGGACGGGGAATATTTGCAAGTGGGAGTCCATTCTCAAAGGTAACCCTGCCCAATGGACAGACCTTCTTTCCTGGCCAAGGAAACAATGCCTACGTCTTCCCAGGAGTGGCACTGGGAGTCATCGCCTGTGGAGTCCGGCACATCTCTGACGATATCTTCCTCATCACAGCAGAGGTTTCCAATTGGCTTTTAACTAATGTTTTTTAAAATATTGTAAGAGGCACGTGCACCTACTTCAGGTGTGTTCAAGAACCTAGCCTTGGGCAATGCGTTGAGTGGAAATGGCACAGCCTCAGCAAAAAAAGGCAGCCTTTCTTAGTCTCAGGGAAAACTCACACTTGCATTGTGCCTACAGAGCTGCAGGAGCCATGACACGCTTCTCATTCTCCACAACCACTGCCCTGGCACAGCGCTTCCACCATTCTGGCTCCAGTTTGAAGTCTGTAATGAAATGTAAACACACATGTGTTTTGAATAGTTCAGCAGTTCCCATTGAGAACTAGTCCCAGCTCCGCTGCTGCTGAGGTTCCAGCCACGTATCACGTAATGCTAGTGGATGTGGTACGTGCTTGAGACCATCTCTATAAACTACTTTACTTTTCTTTTCTTTCTAGTCTATTGCTGCTGAGGTGACAGAGCAGAATCTTGCAGAAGGAAGACTGTATCCCCCCTTGGACAGCATCAGAGAGGTGTCTCTCAAAATCGCTGTGAAAGTGAGTACTCATTTTTTCCCACTTTCCGTGGTAGGGAGGGCAGGAATTGCCTTGGCATCATTCTTGCTTTGTGGTTTTTTAATTCAGTTTTTTCTACAGCCTAAAGCAATGATGCTCAGGAATCCTTCCAGCCAGAATTGTTGCTTTGATTACTCCCATCATTAAAGCCTAAATGTGAAAAATACCTCCCAGTTCTGGGTGCCTCACAGCTTACGAAGCTCTGCTTTCTTGCTTGGAGCTGTGAGTGTTCAGGACTTCAAAAAATCAGGTTTAGGGTCAAATTCAAACATGACACAAGTTGACGAAGGATTTTAGGTTCCAAATTACTATTTTGGAATCTCTCCTCCTGTATTTGACAGGGCCTGAGTACCTAAATAACTATTCCTGATCTGGGCTTGCTGTCCAATTGTGGGATTGGTGCCCTGTATACCTCAAATTTGTAATCCCCATTCAGAGGACACCTACTGAGAATCACATTGAACTGCTAGGAGTTACTGACGGATGCACAGCATAGCTGAGGAGCTTAAGGGTGTGAGTGGAGGTGGTTAAAGGGCTGCTCTCCTTCTTTAATTGCACACTCCAACCATTTTGCCAGGGCAGGGGTGCATATTTCTAAGCAGCCAGTAATTGCAGGCAGCTTGCATTCCCTCACCCAAGGGATGAAGTGCAGCTGACTCAGGGAATTGCACAGAGAAAAAAGGCAAAAAAGGACACAATATTGAGGGGGGAAAGGGGAGAAACAGATAAAATACAGCCAGGGCCAAACTGCAGTTGGTTTCAGCTTCATAACGTGCCAACTTTTATTTCATCAGCTCATTTTGCTTATCTTTTTGCAGATTGTTGACTGGGCCTACAAGCATGGTCTTGCTTCTTGGTACCCCGAGCCAGCAGACAAGGAAGCCTTTGTGAAACGGCTCGTTTACAGTCCTGATTATGATTCGTTTGTTATTGATGATTACAGGTGGCCCCCCGCAGCCATGCAAACACAAGATGTATAAGTTTTTGTGAGAACTGTTTTCTCATTTTTCCATCGGTTCCTATGGTTCGTATCATTGCTGATATAAATGCACCTCCAGGCTTGCAGAATGATAAAAGTAAATGAATCCAAATAGTTTTTTACTTGCCGCTGCTTTTTCTCTGTGGGAGCATTTCAGTAGGGATTAAAACAGAGTCCAAGATGGGCAGTCAGTACTCCAAGGAGAGAGACAGACTATGGCTGCAACATGTCCCTGTCAGTCAGCACTGCACATTGCTGCTTGCTTAACATGCTGCCCAGCTCTCAGCTCAGCTGCCTCAGGAGAAGCTACCTGGGCCACCTCAGAAAGAAAGAGTCCCATTCCTAGTGGGGGTGCCTGCGGGAAGCTCGGAACCCCGGAACTTCCATGGTGGCAGCTGTATGTGTGATCATCCCTCACACACAACAGCCACACTTTGCCCATGGCTCTCTGGATATGATGGGAAGCGTGCGCATTGTGCTGGGAGAGGTGTACACTTGGGCGGCATTACGTTTTCCTGCTTCAGAAGTCCCCAGTGTTTAGGGAGTCTCATCCAACCCAAGCTGGTGCATGGGCCACACAGCCTGGCACTGTCCTGTGCCACACCCCTTTGGAAACAAACCCCAAAATCTCTTTCAGCCCCATGGGGACCACAGACTCCCTCCCGTCTGCAGTCACAGAATCACAGAATCACAGAAACACTAGGTTGGAAAGGACCTTCAAGATCATCAAGTCCAACCATTAATCCAGCGCCACCATGTCCCCTAAACCATGTCCTGAACCTAAACCAGTCCAGACTGCTCTCCAAGGGCACAGGAGCCAAGGGACACACAGCAGGGAGGCAAGCTGGAGACCAGGGCACCCCGAAACCCACACATGGCTGCCTGACTGCATCTTCTGCTGGGCACTGCTAAGGAAGTACTGCCACCAGCCAGAGACTCTCCTGGGGGCATCTCTCTGTGTAACAGAGTCCCAGGGAGGCCTCCCCTAGCCCTGCAAAACTGTCACGGTCCCCAAATACTATCCCAGTGGGATGACGGTGTTCCTGACCGTAACTGGGAAAGAACAGAGAGGCTTACTGGCAGCTCTTCCCTTCCCAGTTCTCATCGCTCATGCACAGCAAGGCCGAGGCTGATTACCACATAAGTGTTTTTTAGCACCAGGAAAAGCATCTCGTCCCTTTGTGATGAGCCACAGTCTCTCCATGTGTTTGTAATGCCAGCAACTTTCATGGTCTTCTCACCTAGGCTAAGGAAGGAAAGAGAAATCTGTCAAGTTTCAGGTTCAGGGACAGACACTGAGAAATACATTTCCTGAGCAAAAGACCCTGAAACTGAGGTTTTCTTACCTTTTCCATTGCTTCTGGAAAAAACTGTCTGCTTTTGAGAAGGGAGGTAGCAGGGTGGCAGTTACTTTTTTTGTTTCAGAAAGGTGTCTACACAGCTTCTGTTAGTTTCTTCCCTCTTCTGCCTGTGCATCTCTCCATTGCTCAGTTAACACACCTTTCTGTGTGTTCAGCATCTAGGCCTGATACCTCAAATATTAGACAAGATTAAAAAAAAAAAAAAAAAGAGAGATAATGCCTTATAGGTGGAGCCACAAAGAGAGGAAATTTTCGTGAACAGCCTGGGAGCATTGGCGAGTGCTCAGCTGGCCTCATGAAAGTCACCTCTCAGTCTTCCTCTTCACTGCCAGCAAGAAAGGCTTCGTGTTTCTGCCAAGCAAGCGAAAGACAAGATGCTTTTTGACAGGTGGCTTCAAAGTCTTAATTCTTCACTGTTCGAGAAATGAGCCTTCCAGACGCATGGTTTATTCTTCATAATACTGGTTCTGGTCCATCCCGCCTTGCCTAGGCAAATAGCAAGTCCAAGAGAGGTAGGATCAAGCCATGCCCTTGCCACAGCTTGGGCCTCTTTTCATCCTCTGTAATTGTCTGACGTCTCTCGTTCCTTGTAGGGACGAGGCCAGCCAGGAGCCTTGGCTTGGCTCTTTGGAGGCAACACTACTCCTGGGACCTGGGTACCTTCAGCCCTCAGCTTCCATGGTGGAGGCAACAGCTGTTTTGGGGGAAGTCTGAAAATGCCTTCCACACCTGGCCCTTTTGCCCTCTAAGTGTCTGAGACATTTCTCACTGGACTCCGGGAATAGCCCAGGGTGTTGAACAAGCTCAGACACATATGGAGTGATCCTAAGAACGTGTGGCCCTCTCCCCAGATCATGA